TCCACACCTATGCTAGGGATAAGAACTGAAATAACTAAGGAGGTCCTGAAGATTTCCTAGGTTTCCTCACTGAAACCCATGTTCCTGGGTTCTGGATCATTCCCATGCTGGTATACCAGCTATCAGTCTGGGAACCAAGAGCTCCACATTGTTCAGGTCAGTTGTTTCTGTGGGTTTCACCAGCCTGGTCTGTACCCTTTGCCCATCATTCGTTGCCCATCACTCGTTCTTCTCTGGAACTGGATTCCAACTCAGTTCACTGATAAGTTGTGGTGTCTGCTTCTACTTCCACCAGCTGCTGGATGTAGGCTATAGGATGGCATATAACACAATCATCAATCTCATTATCAGGGGAGGGCATTTAAGGTAGCCTCTCCTCAAATGCTTAGATTGTTAGTTGGTGTCAACTTTATAAATCTTCATACCTTTCCCTAGTGCCTGATTTCTCTGTTAACCTAAAATGTATCCCTCAATTATGGTATCTCCTTTCTTGTTTTCTTCTATTCTTCCCCCGACTCAACCTTCCTGCTCCTGCATGTCCCCTCACTCCTCCTATTCTCCCCTTCTCATTCGCCTAGCTTCCTCTCCCCTTCCCCATGCTCCCAAAATTGCAGCACTTTCTACAATGGAGGATGCATTTAGAAGGTGCTTCCAGGAATGAGGGAAGCCAAGATCACTCACAGAATTTTGTGTGTATGTCTGTTTAAATATCAGAAGTGCAACTGCACAAATAAAATCAAATATTTGTGCTACTGAAAGACAGGCTATTCTTAAGTTTTTTTCCTAACTTCAGGATCATGAATCAGTTGTGCTTAACATTACCAGAGAGAAGCATCTGGAACCAGTCAGTTGCATGGCTTCTCTTCTATCATTGGTCAGAAAAGGTATGATATCCTAAAAATTTTCTGCTCATAGGGCAACACTCTCTAGCCAACACCTCCTTAAAGAAGATTTACCCTACAATTTAGGGTGCTTGATGGGCTTACCCTGGAATTTCAGCTTCTTTTGCTCTGGTCTGGGCAATTTCTATAATAAGGCTTCACTTCATAATCCATTATGGTTCTCTGCTAATGGCTGTCATGGGTGACAATGTACCAGAGCCTTTTCCTTCTTCCTCTGTGTGGGTTCACAGAGACAGCCTCCTCTCACAATGGAATTAATTCACAAAAGTCTGGACTCTGTGGGATGGTGGAGAGATGGTGTGAGCATCCTCTCCTGAGGTAGACTAATGTGTCTTTATATGTGCTGAGCTGGAGCAATGTGTGTGAAACTGTGTAGGGTTTTCATTGAAAATATGCACACATTGATTTCTAGCATTCTCATCCAAACTTCACTCTGAGGATTTTTTTCTCAATTCTCTGCCTGGACCTCTTTCACTAATCATAAACTCCCAACAGTTTCTTCCATTCCTGAGCTGTATTTGATATTAATGAACCACTGCATGTCCCAAGTGCTGCTTGCACTATCCCTGAGTCCCTTTGCAGACAGGATTATATCTGGAACATGGATCATAACATCTCATTCTAACTCCCCAACAGATTGAGACACTATGGTATCCTCAGTGGTCAGATATCTCATCTGAAACAAGAAGCAGTAGAGATCTGATTCTGGAGATGTCTGGAGTGTCTGCTCTGCAAGTTATGTTTGGAGGTGATTACAGATGACTTCTACACTCTGTTCCTCCATTACATCATGGGTCAGTATTGTGAGAGGAGCATGTCTCCTGATGAAACACCTAGACAGTACAAATCAAGGAAAATGTCTGTGAAGGTTTATTAGAGTTGGACGCAATATTTAAGCTCTTATAGATGAGATACCTGATATCAAATAAATCACTGAAAATCATCAAAAATGTGCAATTCTATGAGAACACTCATGAGAAAGAGTTTCCACATTGAAGAGTATGTACAAAATTTAAATTCATTGCTTATGAGGCTCTAAAGTTCTAAAAAAACACAGAGTGAAATATAGGGTGTAGATACTGCCTATCTGCTGTCAAGAGACTTCACTTAATCAAGACATTATATGTCTTGCCTAGGGTAGGCTTATGAGCTGGAAGAAAATAGGATTTGACAAATTCTAAGATTTACCAATTAGAGAAGTAACCACACATTTCATCACTGACAGTGAACTGAGTTGAGAAATCACAGACACTGGGTGTTCTTGGAAAGGCCGCTGTCATCACAGAAGGAGGACAGTAATAGGTATATATGAAGTCTGATGTCATGAGAAGTCTCCATTGATGATGCCATGACTCACCAGCCTGTACTGAATGTTTTCTCATATTCCCCAGAATCATCACCAGCTTGGAAGCCTGAGGTCTCTTCCTTGAAGGATAAGATGGTGAGGTGATTCCAGTAGAATTCTCAAGCTGCTACCCGAATAGTCCTTCAGTTAAATTCTTCCAGTCATATTAACTACTGAAGTTACTGTAATTGCAGAATACATTCATTTCTGCATGAGGAACTTCAAAAATTTTCAACATGTTCATCAATCCCACTTTGCAGTTGGAGGAAGACAGGAGGGTGCTTTGTAAACTCACTGTTATTTCATGCACTACTTTTAATTCAGCATCAGTTGCATAGGTTACGATTAGAATTGGACAAGAGTATTCACACTTACAAAACCGCATCGCTCAGATGGATACCATCCATCGATTGATGGATTTCAGATTTCTCATGGAGAACAACTCTGTGGTAGAGGAACAGGCAGAACAAGTCAAATGTCTCCATGTTTCTCATTACTTAGATACTTATTCAACTGAATAGCCTTCCAAGAAGTACTGATACCTGTGGCAACCATGTATTCCAATCACTGTAGGAAAAGGTCTTAGGTCACGGTGGGTCAGTGCTCTGCACCAGGCTGTGATTGCAGTGGACGGTACAGAGACAGGGGAAGACTATGAGTGTGGAGTCAATGATCAATGGTTAATCTGTGACCCTACCACTCAGATTTCATGGATCCAAACTGAATTGATACATTCATTTTGTTTATAGTAATTCAACATTGATTATGGTCATCTTCTGAGAATTAGATAATGATTTCTGAGGTGATCAAACAAATCTCCTCCTCCAAGATAATTGATGTTATTTTAGACACACATGCTCACATTGACATCGCCATGGAAATATATGGATCAACGTTACTAATTTAAAACTGCAGGCTCCCTGATTCTTGCATTCAGGGTGCCTAGGGACATTCCTTGTGCGAAGAGAATTAATTCTTAGTCCTGTATTTACTTTCATCAAAACATAACCACAATTTTGAGCAAGTCTTCAGGTTGCTCTTCAGCTTCCTCTTTCTTCAGAGTTTCTGACACACTCGAGATGTGAGCTGTGGCTCTGTGCCTTGCACAGTAGTAGACGGCAGAGTCCTCAGATGTCAGGCTGCTGAGCTCCATGTAGGCTGTGTTCAACTGTGTATCTGCAGTCAGTGTGGCTCTGTCCTCAAAGGTCTGTGCATAGTTTGTTCTACCAATGCTTGGGAGTATGTTTCCAATCCACTCAAGCCCGTGTCCAGGCTTCTGCCTCACCCAATTCATACAGGCAATGGGGAAGTCATTAGGGTCAGAATCCTTGCAGGTCACCTGTACTGCAGCTCCAGGAGCTCTCAGTTCAGAGGCAGACTGCTGCAGATGACCCTGAGAATGGACTCCTGTGAAGGAGAAACAGACTGGATGCCACTGTCACTTCACCGTCTCTCTCCCTCTCAGGCCTAAGACAGGGGATCCACTTACCTATAGCTGCTGCCACCAGGTAGAGGATGATCCAGCTCCTGTCCATGCTGAAAACCTGTGTGCTCTGGACTGCGGGAAATGGGGTAATAGCCTGCTGCTGTAGGGCATGGGGACATTATTTACTCACAACCAGAACCTGCAATTTACATATTCATGAGGGAGGGTAGTTATTAGATCAGAGCTGATCCTGTTTGAGAAAGATCAGAAAGACCTCCAGACCTCGATGCCTAACTTCTGTGTTAGACATCGAGGTCTGGAGGTCTGAGGTTCAAATGTGTCTCAAGAAATCATTTTGTGCTCCATCCTGGCACTGTTCACACAGAGGTCTTCCATCCCACTGAGAGTCAGTTCACCACATCCAGGTTTGTAATGCAGAAACACCATTTATTTAATGGTTCAAGGAACACCTGAACCAACTTAGGGTCACCCATATATGTGATGATGAGAAGTCCACTGAGATCATCCTGGCCCAATAAGACACTAGCACAAAGCGTTGGAAACTGCTGTCTTTGCCATACCAGTGAGTGATCAGCAGGACTAAGGACACCCCTGAAATCAGCTTGCAAGCCTTGGGGCATTTTTCCCAAAATATTTCTCAGGGTCCTGAGGCCCACGTTTATTTTATCTATGCTTACAAATGGTTTGTATCTCTACAGTGACAATAGGAATCCAGTGTGGCATTTGGGGGGTTCATACAATGGTTCTGGTTAACAAAGAACCTCTCCTGTGTTAGAGCAAGAAGATCTCATGTGCCAACCACACAATGATCTCTGCATGCGTGATGTTGACAATGAAATCCACACAGTCGCTGAAATCTCAGTGCACCACTTCCTGCTCTACTT